AAAAAAAAAAAAAAAAAAGGAAAAAAGAGGATCTTCCAAGATAAATTCATGAAAAGCCCATCTTTTAGACATCAAAATAATTTGAGCACATGATTTTGGAGCATCACATCATCCATTTTCTCCAAGTATCACACCATTCACTTTTCTTCAAGCTTCAAGGCATTCGCTTTCTTTTCATGGAATGATATTTCCTATGTATGCCAATTTAATGGGTTGCAATAGTGAATCATCAACTTCTCCTTTGGAACTTGCTTGGCAGACTTAATGAAGGAAAATTCATGTTTTAGGATACAACTCCACACACATTATCACTTTAGAGCATATTCATGTTCCTTCATCCTTTATCTATTATTTGGCATCCATGTTTATTTCTTTTCTTGCACTCCCATAATCTTGTTTGATTCTCTGCCTTCAACAATTGAGATATGGATTCATACATGGTCAAGTGTGATTCTTCATCAGTCAAGACACCATTGAAATATTCATCCATGGAGAAAGCTTTGACCAACAAAGGATTCAGGAGATCTTCAATTGCAAGCATTTTCTCCATCGTGGACAATTGCCAAGTCTAGGGGGCAAGTTTAAAAGGACAAGAACCAAGAGCAGCCTTGAAGATTAGAAGCTCAACCACATCACACTTCATTTTGCTCCAGAAATCAAGGGATTCATCACGGAAAGGAATGCAACTACTCATTGAACAATCATACTTTGAGAGACCTAGGAGTTAGATTTTACTATGGACTTGAATGCTACCATGTTGATGTACTTAGTGTGATGTACTAGGCTTCTGCTTTGTAATGAATGACCATCATTGTAATGCATGTTGAATTGCTTGTAAGTGTCTACAGCCTTTTAGTTTGAAGGAAATCTCAATGTGTTCAAAGATATTTTGCTTCATCTGAGGCTCCTTGAGGATTGGAAATCGACAATGTGTGAATCCACATAGCAATTGTTGAAGCACTAAATCATGCAAAATTATGGGATGACTTTTAACACTATTCTGACTTTGTTTATTTTTCTTTTACTTTTTGTTTCTAGGTAGGTTTCATAAACTACTTCAAGAACAAAAACAAAAAAAACAGGCATGATAGTCTCCCTCTGTTTTCTCACTCTTTGGAGCAATGCATCATCCATCTAAAAGGCAACCTTCAACATGCTCTTATAAGCTCACCAAGATATGATGTTGAAGTGGACTTACACACAAGATATGTGGATATAGATTCAATGAATGAGGGGCAAATCTAGGACATGGGGAAATTCAAGTATTGTTGCTCCTAGGGATGAACACCTATTTGACATGACCATTACTTCTGCCTTGGGGACACGTTGGCCAATTGGACAGTCAAGCTTTTCTCTGCTTCATTCATCCATGAGTGGGATGAGTCAGCTTTCTAGTAGCTCAGCTTGTGATTACATGAAAGGAGGGAATAACAAGTTCTTTTATATTTTCTGAAATATTTGCTATCATGCTAGTTAGTTCTCCAATTTTTACAAATTCAAGTCTCACATGTTGCCATATCACCATCCACTAAACTTGATGCAACTCTTCTTGTTAATCATTGTCCAAACCATCATTTACCATTGAGACATCATTTGATGCCATTAATATGCTAAAAAAAAAAAAAATCTACTTGCATATATATGCTTTCCTCACATGCTGTTGCATATCCATGTTTCTTTTTGCTTTCAGGCTTTGCTAATGATGAATCTGAATACAATGATGCCATTTCAGGATTGGTATATGTTTCAAATGATCCAAATCCATGTCGAGGAAGATGATGTTGATCTAAATTCTTCCCTTGAACTAACTGATATGTTGCAAAATAGAAGCCAAAGTTGCAGTCAATGTGATAGAGTCATACAAAAAAAAAAAAGAAAAAAAGTAAAAAGGAGAGAATAAGGAAATCTTGCTAACTTAAGTTGAATGATTGTCATCATTTTGAGGTCTAAAGTGAAAAGCTCAAGGATCAAAGCCATCTTTCATAAGCCTAATTGCCAAACACTTTACCCGAAAGAGCCATCCTTTCGTCAACCAAGTTGAGCCTAAAAAGGAAAGTGAGCCTTTTCTTTCATACTTATCCCAAAACCGGGGAATATAGTTATGTGCCTAATTGGGGGCAAGATCATATTGCTAAAACCCATGAAGGGAAATCTCAAAAGAGTAGCAAAGTTCAAAGAGAGCAAAAGCTCAACAACAACATCAACAACAACAAAAAAAAAAAAAAAAAAAAAAAAA